GAAAAACAAAACAGATGAATAAACAAATAGAATCAGACCTATACATACAGATGAGAAACTGATGGTTGCCAGAGGGGAAGAAAGGTGGAGGGATGGGCAAAATGGCTTAGGAGGAGTGGGAAATACAGGCCTTCACCTATGGAATGAATACAGCACAGGAATAAAAGACACAGCATAAGGAATATAGTCAATGATATTGTAATAGCATTGTTTGGTGACAGGTGATGGCTACACTTGTGGAGAATATAGCATAACATATAGAGAAGTTGAATTGCTGTTATACACCTGAAACTAATGTAACATTGTGTCAACTATATTCAAATTTATTTGTTTATTTTTAAGATTTTATTTATTTGTCAGAGAGAGGGAGAGAGCACAAGCAGGGGGAGTGGCAGGTGGAGGCAGAGGGAGAAGCAGACTCCCCGCTGAGCAGGGAGCCCAATGTGGGACTCGATCCCAGGACCTTGGGATCATGACCCGAACTCAAGGCAGATGCTTAACTGACTGAGCCACCCAGGCATCCCTATATTCAAATTTTAAAAATTAAGTATATTAGACTACTTGATTTTATCTCAAGTCACAGAGGTTTCAATCATTTTTTACCTCTGTGCTTCAGTTAGGATAGTTTTTATTACCATGTGCTCAAGGTCGCTGGTCATTTTTTCAATAGTTTTTCATCTGCTCTTAATCCCACCCAAATGAGTTTTTCATTTCCAATCTTGTATTTTTCACCTCTAAAAATTCCATTTGTGTCTTTAGAAAATAATTTTTATATTTTCCATTTCTTATCTCATTATGTTCAAGTTTTGCTTTAAATTTTTGAACATATATGTAATACTGATTTTAAAGTCCTTGTCTGTTAATTCCATTATGCCTTTGTTTTTGTCTTTCTCCTGAATAATATTGCTCTGGGTTCTATATCCTGTTTTGCTACCTTTCTCATGTCTTGTAACTTTTTGAAGATATGAATGTTACACTTGTGAATGCCGGTTTTTGTTGTCTTCCTTTAAAGAGTGTTAAAGTTGTTTTGAAAAAAAAAGTTGATTTACTTTTTTGTCTTTGTAGTTCTAAAATAGCCTTTACTTTAGGACTAGAGTAACCTTATTATAGAGGCATGGCCTTTTAGGATTCAGTACTGAATTCCTGTGTGTTCAGTGAGAGGTCTTTCTGATATAGTAAGGATTTTAATATCTCTCAGCAATGTATGAGGCCAGAATACTTTAGATTATAGTTATTCTTTGATTTTCCTTTACTTGGTATGGAGTTTAACCCTAAGCAGATTTATATTAAGTCAAAGACTTAATGGGAGTCCTATTCAGATTGCTGGTGTGCTTTCTCTAAAATTTCCTCCTTTTTGGTACTTTAATTACAAATTCCAGATGCCTAGCCCTTCCCATCTCCAATCCCCATCTCTTAATTAAGTCAAACCTCTGTGCTGTAGTTGGGATCCCCCTCTGTGCACCAGGGCTCAGAAAGCGTCTTTAGGCATAAAGCCAGGGTAAATAAGGGGCTCACCTTTTCCATTTTTCTTCTTTAAGGGATAAGTCTTGCCACCCCTGTTAGCTGGTATTGAAAAACAGTTGTTTTATTTATTTTTCCCAGTTGTCTAATTGTATATGGTTAGAGAGTAAGTCTAGTTCCAGATATTCCATCATGGCCTTAAGTGGAATTGCTTTTGCACTCAGTTCTGGTCCTAGGGACATATTCTCAATGTGGAATTTGGTTTAATCATCTAAAACGGAGGGGCTGGAATTGCTTAATATTGCAGATTACTGGGATTTATTTAGCATCGGGAAAAGCCATAATGTTGCAGTTTCAACAAGTTTATTGCTCAATTCTTGCACACTCAAGTGGAAAACCTGTACCTCCCTAAAATAGGGAATCCTCACTGTATTTCAAAAATTTCTTGGAGAGGGGCTCCTGGGATCGAGCTCTGCATCGGGCTCCCTGCTCGGTGGGAAGCCTGCTTCTTCTCCCTCTCCTTCTACTGCTCCCCCTGTTTGTGTTCTCTCACTCTCTCAGCAAAATAAATAAAATCTTTTAAAAAAATTTCTTGGAGAGCTTTTAAATGCATTCATACCTGGGCCCCCCTTTGGAATATAGCAAGCATTTAAAAATATTTCTTGAATGAAATAATGAATGTATGAATGATTATATCCCTAAGACTAGGGGAATTTCAATGACTTCAGAATTAACTCTCAACAAATATAGCCAGATTTCATGAGTCAAATTTTGCTAGGACAGATTAAATATTTGCTTATATTATTAATACATTTTTCTATAATAATAATTATTAAATGAAGGAAAAGCATATATAATTTGGAAATTCTAAACATCTGCCAGCTGACTTCTATTGTTTATCTTAGTACCTGAGTTGACCCAAATTGCACTTGAATTTTCAGATTCACTTGTTTTCTGTCCTAGTGTTGCTTTGCTCAAGTGTCCATTTATGCTTTGGTTTACTCTCCATATTTTCATAGAATTCTTACCTAGTTTTTTTTTCCCCAAATATTAACAATACTTGCTATGAAGCTCTAACCCTCAGTGGGTGTCACCTTTATTTGTATTCTTAGGGCAGTTATAAGCAAGTGATTTAGTGCTGGGTTGTGTGTTATGTTGTACTTTATTTTTTACATAATTTATAAGGCTTTTGTTCATCCCAAACAGTAGGCTCTTTGAAAGCAGGAATCATGGTTTCTTCTCACTCTACATAGCTCCCAACCTGGAGGAGTGCTCAGTAGGGCAGCTCAAGGAAAACTTGTCAGATAACTGGCTGTTTCTTAAAACTGCAATTGGAAGTCTATAAGGCATTTTCTGGATGTCTCTCTTTTTAGGAGTATTTTTTTTTCTGGAGTATCTGAGATATGAGAAAAGCTATTTCTCCAGCTTCAGTATAAGCCCACTTATTACTGTAGAAGATAAAAAATTTTTGGTTTGTATAGTTATAAGCATGGGTATTATGTGATAATATGTCAAAGTAATATTTTGGTAGAATATTGCTTTACATTAATTACATTAATGTAAAAATTGTGTCATGTTCTCAGAAGCATACTTGAGATAATCAACCTAAGCTTGAAAAATATCCACTTTATTTTAATGTGACAGTGTTAATATATTTGGTTGCACTCTAGCATCTCCCTTGGGCTGAAAACATGTTGAACATTTTAAAACATTTTAGTTTTCTAACCTGTAAACAACAACAACAAAATGTTTAATTCCCTAGGGAGACATTTTATTTCTGAAGTTTCATGAACTACTCTGCTTTCTCCTCAGGGCCCACAGCACTTAAGTGTCTAGTGCTATATAATCTATAATGTGGGGTAAATATGAGATAAGGAGAATCAAAGTGATTATTTGCTCATTCATTTCTCTTCTCTCTCTCATACACACACACACACACACACACACACACAGGAAGAGTCAACACTTTACTTGACATTGAAAGTATATATATGGACCTTGTTTTTTGGGAGCTTACAATTTTTTGAGAGATCTCTTAAGAGATGAAATGAATGAGATCAAAACTAGAGATTTAAATCACATGTGACTAGTGCAAAAATTCCATAGTCAGAGGCAGGGAGAGTGTTTCTGGCTTTACTTAACAGTGAAGATTTAATGGGAGAATTGGCTGGCTCTTGGGAAGCAGAAGTGAAGAGAAAGCCAGTCTGTATGTTTATTATCAAATCTGTAAGAATGCAGGAACATGTACTGATGACAATAATCTATACTTAGGAATCAGTCCAGATGTGTTTTTCCCTAGCAACTTGTCTGAAACTATATAATGGTGTGCATTTTTCTTGGAGAGGGTCTATATAATCATTTTCTAGAAAGTATAGGTATCTGTACTGATGTTTTTATATGAAGAACATAGTGTCTTTGTGGTTTTAAAGACAACTGTGAAATAAAATTGTTTCACCTGCCAAAAAAAAAAAAAGTGAAGAGAAAAATTCCTTCCAGAGGTTGCGCTGTAGTAGGGAAGGAAGGGCATGGTAAAGGAGGTGCTTTAACAATATTTAACTGGCAGTAGATTGAAAACTGTATTGGTAAAAGTGGTTGCAAATACAGCTGTTATGTAAAATAAGGAGAGAGCGTCAGCAGGAACAGCAAGGTTGAATTGGATTAGATTCCACAATTAGAAATAGAATTTACAATTTAATGGTTCTAGCTGTTGACAGAGAAGGTAGACTTACTAGCAGCAGATTTAAGACTCAGATTCAGATGTATTCAGATATATTCAGCAGATTCAGACTCAGATTCTTAAGTATCTGGGAGTGTGGTTGTACCATCAACAAAAATAAGGGAAAGACTTATACTGGGACAGAAGATGGGTCCAAGTATAACAAATTCTTACAGGGAGAACATCTCAGAGACAGAAGTAAAGGAAAAGTGGATTCTTTGATTTGAGGAACGAAGAGGAGGAAATGGGATGAAGTTTCGATCAGATGAATTCAGTCTCATTAGTAAGATTGTGGCAAAGTCATCTGAGAGTCGATGGAGATAAAAAGGTTTGACCCTGTATCAGTATTACTGATTTTTCTTTTGGCCTCAGGCATCAGTATGGCTTGCTTTGGCATTTTTACTGATCTTGTCTTTATTTAAATGTTGATAATTCTGTTCATCATGAGATTTTCAGCATTAATTTTGATGTTTTTAAAAATAATGCATTAAATATTACTCATCATAATCACTGAGTTCTTTGACACCTCATTAAATTTTGCATCTAAAGCACTTGCCTTTATCCTAGTCCCAGCCTGGATAAAAAGCATGATTTCAGCATTGGAATGGATAGCAATTCATGCATAATAAATTAGCATATTATATGAGCACATGTTCCAAATGAACTTTAGGTAGAATAGGATTTTTAAAAATTGTGCTAAGGATTTGGGGGCAAAGCGCGGCCCCGCGAGCAGTTGCAGCGGGAGAGCCGCGGGCCGAGAGCGTGACTCGCCCGCTCCGGGGCTGCCTGCTTCCCCGCCGCCGCCTCCCGCCGCCGCGCGCAGCCATGTCCAAGGAGAAGCCCAAAGGAGGGCGTGAAGACAGAGAACGACCACATCAACCTGAACGTGGCGGGGCAGGACGGCTCCGTGGTCCAGTTCAAAATCAAGAGACACACCCCCCTAAACAAGCTGATGAAGGCGTACTGCGAGAGGCAGGGCTTGTCAATGAGGCAGATTAGATTCAGGTTTGATGGGCAGCCAATTAACGAAACAGACACCCCAGCACAGCTGGAGATGGAGGACGAAGACACCATCGACGTGTTCCAGCAGCAGACGGGGCGCTCGTGGCAGAGCTGCTGTCTCTGTCCCCTCCGTGTCGTCCCTGCATCTGCTGAAGAGTGAACAAGTGACCATACCCATCACAACGGAGTCTGCGAAAACCTGGGGACAGTCACCAAAATTACTTCCCTCTCTTTGACATTTTGTGAGGGCAACTCAGAACTCTGTCTGCAGGGGGGAGCCTGCAGCTGGAAGCGGGCCAGTCACACTTGTCTTTGTTGGGGTGAAGTGAGTTGTGAGGGTTTTTGGGTTTGTTTTTGCTTTCATTTTTGTTTTTTCTCCCCTCTAACTTTGCCCCCAAACTTGTGGTCTGAATGTCCACTTTTAGTCTAGATGGGGATCTGACCCCAGGGGTTGATCCCCGCCCCTGCACCACTTATTCCAG